ACTTAAGTAGGGGTTTAGGGTTTAGGGTTTTTTGGTGTTTTGGGGTTTGGGGTTTAGGGTTTAGGATTTAAGTAGGGGTTTAGGGTTTAGGGTTTTTTGGTTTTTTTGGGGTTTGGGGTTTGGGGTTTAGGGTTTAGGACTTAAGTAGGGGTTTAGGGTTTAGGGTTTTTGGGTTTTTTGGGGTTGGGGTTTGGGGCTTAGGGTTTAGGACTTAAGTAGGGGTTGAAGGCTTAACTAGGGGTTTTGGGTTTTAGGGTCTTCGGGTTTTGGCCTTAATAATGAAGGCACCTTTCTTTCATGCCCCGAATATTCTCATCCTTCATGATTCCCGGAACCCCAAAAGAATCCCAAACCGGCAGCGAAGCCCTAAACCCTAAGCCGTACGCCCTAAACCCTAAACCCCAATTTTGGGAACCGCCAACTGGGCCGAGCGGCCCCTCTTCTGGCGCTCCCTCACCACACGGCGGTGGGCGCGTACGGTGTCCGGCTGAGTCCAGTCCCTTACCTTGGCCAGGGTGAACCCTGCAATCAGGGCTTAGCCTGAAGAATAAATATGTAGTAGTGCTCTATTGCAGCGACATTGTAGGGATATCAAGTGGTGCAACCGCAAGCAAGCCTAAACCCTAAACCCTAAACCCGAAACCCGAAACCCTAAACCCTAAACCCGAAACCCTAAACTCTGAAGGTCTTCTTGGGGTCTACTTTGTACCCAATCCCCACACAAAAGCCCTAAGAGACTCAGGCGGGCCCATCAAGCTCTCTCCCTCTGACTCAACATAGACCCTAAACCCTAAACCCAAAAACCCTAGACCCTAAACCCAAAACCCTATTCCTAAACCCTAAACCCTAAACCCTAAACCCCAGGGCCCCCAGAAAGCAAAAACTGCTCAACGACCTCGGAGGATCCAAGGCGGAGGTCAGCTCTTGGCTAGACAAGCGCTCCTCTGGCACTGCTCCGGTGTTGGGGACCGCAGTCGACGCCTGAGGATTTAGGGTTTAGGGTTTAGGGTTTAGGGTTTAGGGTTTAGGGTTTAATCCGAGCATCATCTTAACTAATACCTTCACATTTAAAGAGTTTTTGTTCGTCGAAAATCCGGCTGCAAGATTGCTCTCCTTTGCAGGGGTTTCGTATGGGTAAATACCACCACATCTAAAGAAAAACTGTCTGCAGGCTTCTTTTTCTGCCTGCTGAGCTGCAGCTTGGATCGGCGAAAGAAAATACATTCCCATGGTTTTTTTTATGGAGAAACAATACATTGCCATGGTCTCACTATTGCGGCGCGCCCTGCCTTTCTTGCTGCGGTGTGGGGGGGGAGGGGCGGGGGAGGAGGGGTAGGGGTAGGGCCAACTTGAGTCCCTAAGGTGTGGCTGGGACCCTGCGAGAAAGTGGGAGTGCCGTTGTTTCGTGGCGGCTTGGGCTACTTACTACGTCTAGGTTCTGCGGGACGTAGTGGGCATGCTTGTTTGGGGTTTAGGGTTTAGGGTTTAGGGTTTAGGGTTTAGGGTTTAGGGTTTAGGGTTTAGGGTTTAGGGTTTAGGGTTTAGGGTTTAGGGTTTAGGGTTTAGGGTTTAGGGTTTAGGGTTTAGGGTTTAGGGTTTGCAGAACTCATCAAGTTTCTACCGAGAACCACCACCCTTGAACAAGGAACAAGGCTAGAGGCTGGAGTTGGGTCCTGATGTTCCCATGATGAGGCCAGATTTCCAGTTTGGTTTTGGTCTTCAGGAAGTTTAGGGTTTAGAGTTAGGGTTTAGGGTTTATTATTTATTAGGGTTTAGGGTTTAGGGTTTAGGGTTTAGGGTTTAGGGTTTAGGGTTTAGGGTTTAGGGTTTAGGGTTTAGGGTTTAGGGTTTAGGGTTTAGGGTTTAGGGTTTAGGGTTTAGGGTTTAGGGTTTAGGGGAATAACACTTTCCATTTTTTTTTTTGGGGGGGGGTTCTTCAGCAAATAGTAGGAAGGAGCCTCGGGCTGCAACTGTCCTGTGTCAACTGATGGGGGGGGTTACAGGGTTTCGGGCTAAGACCCTGCACCCCAAAAACCTAAAGCCCCACAACCTAAAACCCAAAACCAAACATCCCCAAGCCCAAAAAACCGCAAAACCCACAACCCCAAAACCCCACAACCCCAAAACACCAAAACCCCAAAACCCCACAACCCCACAACCCCACAACAAAGTGCGCCTCGCTGAGGCCCTTCGAGGTGGCGGAGCCACGCCGCGGCTCAGGCGTGCGCCCTCGGCCGCAGCACGGGCAGCGTGCGCCGTGTGCAGCCCGCCATCGCCTGTAGCCCTGCCTCGGGGTCCAAGGGCTGTGGCTCGGGGGCTTGAGGAGTTTGGGGTTTCGGGTTGAGGGCTTTGGGGTGTAGGGGTTTCGGAGTTTGGGGATTTGCAGGGCTACAAGTGTAGTACCTGTGTAGTTCCTATAGGTACAAGTGTATTCAGCATACCTACCCTACTTAGCACTACCCAAGCTCCCAGCAGCAGCATTCTTAGGGCGGACTGCCGGGCGAGGGCAACAGGGTCGCTGTGCGCCAAGCTGCTGCGCGGCGGACTTGCTGGTGTTACTCCCTGTGCTGCCATCTCGAGACTTACCTCAGCTGGGAAAACTATGGCCCTCAACCGTGCAGTTCGAGAAGAAACCTCCAAGTTGGTGTGCTGCAGCACGCAGCTTGGCTCAAAGCTGGACAAGGGTAGCTCTCTGAATGTAAGTCGCAGGACTTCCCAGGGCCGCACTCCCAAGTTTCCACGCCTGCCCTCACCGCCCAGGCCCTCAACCCAAAGGCCCATAGGTTTTGAGACGAAGGTGCGCAACTCTGGCTCCACCTTGTCGTACTCGCTAAAGTAGGTCCGTACACAGGAAGGCCTCTGGAACAAGCGGAGACTCAATACTCGGAGATAGAGTGAGAGAGAGAGAGTGAGAGACAGAGAGAGAGAGAGAGCGAGAGAGCGAGAGAGCGAGAGAGCGAGAGAGCGAGAGAGCGAGAGAGCGAGAGAGCGAGAGAGCGAGAGAGCGCCAGAGCGAGGGAGCGCGAGAGCGCGAGAGCGAGAGAGCGACAGAGCGAGAGAGCGAGAGAGCGAGAGAGAAAGAGAGCGAGAGAGAGAGAGAGAGAGAAGGAGAGAGGGAGATAGAGAGAGAGGGAGAAAGAGAAACAACAGAGAAAGAGCGAGACACACACACATACATACAGAGACAAGAAACAGGTGTGGTACATTAGTACCGTATTGCTTATACAGATATCTTTTTCCAGTCGCCATACCCATGACAAATCATTGCTTCTGCGGCTTTCTTCCCGTGGCATACATGCTTCATTTTCCTGTGTCTGCAAGGTGCAAGACTCAGCCCTCAAAGCCTCCAGCAGCTACCGTGAGCAACGACCGTTTAGGCGGCTTTAGGCGCCTCTTCCGACAGAAGGATGCAGCTGAACTTCCAGAATTGAAGAACAACCAAGTGCTTCTCCAAAATCCGTGAGAAGCGCTCCTCTTGTGCTAGTACTTGGCAGGGGCCTGAACCGTATGTAAGCCCAACACCACAAACCCCAACCCTATTTCCAAATCCCCACTGCTTCGCCTGCGCGAGTTGAGAAGCGATGAGTCCACCACCTTGGCAGACTCTGACTTCTTGTTTTCACTTCAGCTTTCTTGGGGTTTATGAGGTTTAGGGCTTAGCGTTTGTAAGGCTTGGGGTTTGGGGTTTATCAGGTTTAGTGTTTAGGGATTGAAAGGTCTAGGGTTTAGCATTTAGGGATTATAGGAGGTTATAGGGTTTAGGGTGTATAAGCTTTAGGGCTTGGGGCAAGGAAGCTCTTGTGGGAGCTAAAGACTGGGGGGAGCACCGGCGCCGGGCCGCGTCCGAGGATGAAAAAGATGGGTGCCAAACCCTGAACCCGAAGCCCTTGAGCCTGATTAGGGTTTAGGGTTTAGGGTTTGGGCTTGGGCTTTGGGCTTTGGGCTTTGGGCTTTGGGCTTTGGGCTTTGGTTTGGGGTGTGGGGTGTGGGGTGTAGGAACCGGTTATTTCCGGGAGGCTCGAAAACCCTTGTTGCGCGCGTGCGGTATGCGCAAGGGCACCCTGTCTTAAAGCCAGCGAAGTGCCTGACACGTATCTCGAAGCCGACATCTAATCAGGAAAACATGAAGGGGTCTCCAAGGGCCTACCCAGCCTAAAAAAGCCCTAAGCCCTGGACCCTAAACCCCCAAAACCCCAAAACCCTGAAGCCTCCCTCACCCCCAACTCCCAAACAGGACGGAACAGTGTCAGTGACCCAAAATTTTAGGTGCCCTCCCTCCCCGGCCCTCCTCTCCCCGCAAGGACCCCGGTTCTCATTGCGGCGAGCCGACGCTGCCGTTCCAGGGCGGCCGGCCGTTCATCGCGCTCCCATGGGCTCCGATTGTGCTGAGGATGCCGATGTCGCGAGTTCTTTGAGGAACTGAAGGTCTTCGCCCTAACTGCCCGCACTTTCGTAAGAAGGGTTTAGGGTTTAGGGCGAGGAAAACATTGCTCTACACCCGCAAACCCTACACCCCTATAACCCTGAAACCATCTACGGCCCGAAGTTCATAGGCATCTCAGCATTTCGGCATGGCCAGCAGCGTCTCTTTGGTCAAGATAGGCGGCGGGGCGCAAAATGTTGGTCGGGTTTAGGGCCTAGGGTTTGGGGTTTGGGGTCTGCGCGACTGGAGGAATGGTGCATGCTTTTTCATCGGACCTGCCGTGTGCCTAAGACGCCACGCTCCGGGAGAGGTGTGCTTGCCAGTTAGGGTAGCACTGTAGGGTTAGGGTTGCAGGGAACTCTAAGCCTAAGCTTGGCACACATTCCCTCACCCCACTCGGAGCATCCCTACAATCCCTGGCCTCAGTTCACGTGAACAGGATCCCTGGGGTGCCGTCATCGCACAGCACGACCGCAAAACACCCCCACGCCCTTTATCCCTAAACCCTTAAATCCCGAAACCCTAAGCCCTAAGCCCTAAACCCCGAACCCTCAACCCGGAGGGAGGATCACTGGTCCTGGGCCTCTGGGGAACCTTCTTCCTCCGCCTCCTCCGGCTTGCGCGCAGCTTTTGGGTTTTGCTGGGGTTTGGGGTTTTAGGGTTTGGGGGTTTAGAGAGGTCGGGTAAGGTTGGGGGCGTGCGAAGACGTGCCTGAGTACGCAGAGCTTCAGGGTTACCATGATGGTAGTGGGACAATACCCGATCACGTGAGTGGCCTTTCCCCCCTCAATCGTATCCAAAGCACTAATCTGGGTCCTCCTCCTCTGCCGCGGACGGCAGTGTAGCAAGCCAGGATGCCATGGCGCTTGAAGCTACCCTAAACCCTAAACCCTAAACCCTAAACCCTAAACCCTAAACCCTCTTTATGGATTAGAGCGTTCTGGGTCGACCGGAGCCGCTGCCCTCTAGGGCTTTAGGCTTCCGAGTTCTGCCCCCCAAGCAAACTCTCCGGTCCCTTTGTCGCCGGGGTGCCAAAAAAGCTGCTGGGCGAAAAGGCGTTTAAAGGAGCTTAAGGCTTGGGGGTTGTTGGTGGGGTTTCCGAGGTTTTAGGGTTCGTGGAAAATGGCCCAGTGCCTTCGTATGTTTACAGCAGAGCCGTGGGGCTTGCTGCCAGACCCTAAACCCTAAACCCTAAACCCTAAACCCTAAACCCTAAACCCTAAACCCTAAACCCCAAACCCTAAACCCTAAACTGCTAGTCATAGGCTCCAGCCCATCAGGGGCTTGAGACTTACTCTCCGGACTTGGGGAGTTTGGCATTGCTTGGCTGTCAGGATTGGGGTCAGGATTGGGGCCGGCCCTCATAACACAGCTGCGGCTTTGGTGGCGCATGGTTGCAGAGTGCTCGCAAAACCCTAAACCCTAAACCCTAAACCCGAAACCCGAAACCCCGATCTTGCCACGTGACCTTGAGGTGGCCAAAGAGCGCAAAGAATGCGACATCGGAAGCCGGTAGTTCATGGTACTTACTAACCAACTATAACTGTTCTTATAACTGTACTCATAACCATATTAGGGCACTGGAAGGGGCGTATAGGCGGGTTTTAAGTACAGTTATGATTGAAGAACAAGTACCAGGAACCTCCAAGTAAGGATTCAGGGTTTAGGATTTGGGCAGTTCCCAAAACAGGGGACCCATTCTATACCTACTGCAATCCCCTTCTAAAGTCCCCCCCCCAAAATGCTTAACGTAGTCACCACGCTCAAGAAGCAGGGCTTTTTTCTTCTCTTAATGGCTCTCGGTGGGTAATGGGTTGGGTGTCGGAAGTTTAGCGCCCCGATGAAGAACAAGCAAGTTTGCCGGCGGCATTCATTAACCGGGCCGGCTCAACCCTAAACCCCAAACCCAAACCCTTAGGCCCTAAAAACCCCTGAGCCCTAAACTAAACCCCGTGACGGCAACTCCCCCAACAGCCGGGCCACAGCTCCATCGCGCTTGACTTTAGGGTTTAGGGTTTAGGGGTTAGGGTCTAGGGTCTAGGGTTTAGGGTTTAGGGTTCTCGAGGCTCAGGGTTAATAGGGTGTAGGAGGGCACGAGTGTAAGGGCCTACAACTTGGCCCAACTTCACGTCGTCTCGCCGGCCGCTCCGCGTCGTCTTGGCTTCCTGGTCATTGGGCTATGAGACGCGATGCCAATGCGGAGAATACAGGAGTTGAAACACAATAACCTTATTTTATCTTGTTATACTTATTGTCCCTTTATAAAGCCCTTTGCGCTGAAAATGCTAACTACCCCAAGTATGCATGTCCAAAGGAGCCCTGAAACCCAACAGCCGTCTACATCCTAAACCCTGAAACCCGACCCCATACTGCATTTCGTGCCACCCCTGCATTGATATACATATCCAAAACTAACCCTAAACTCCCTAAACCAGAAACATGCTAAGAACCCTAAACTCCAAAATCCCTGAAAACTCTAAACCTCAAACACTAAACCCCAATCGCCGGGGCCCCACCACCCCGCATAACATACACATCCAAACTTAAGTGTAAGCCCTAAACACCCTAAACCCAATCCCTAAACCCTAAACCCTCTAAACCCCACACTGCATCACGCGCCAGGCGTCTCATCTCCATGCCAAAGAGGCGCCAAGGGCCAAAGTCATGCAGAACGTGGGGCGGCCGCCTCCTAACAGCTTCAGAGCTTGACTGGGTGTAGGGTTTAGGGTTTAGGGTTTAGGGTTTAGGGTTCAGGGTTTAGGGTTTAGGGTTTAGGGTTTAGGGTTTAGGGTTTAGGGTTTTAGGGTTTGGGGTTTAGGGTGTAGGCCTTTGTTCTCGTGCATATGCTATTTTTGACCAGAAGCAACTTATGTGTTTTCAATTGTGCTGTTGTTCATCGTTACTTCGTTGCACCCTTTCAAAAATTTGGTTGTTCTTGTATGTACTGATTGTTCTTGTATTTGTTTCTTCTGTTTGTATGGTTGTTCCGTTCTTGGAACCGCTGCGAAAACTCAATCTTGATGGTCCCATAGAAGAAGAACCAACAACAACAAGAATCGTGTTCATGGCCCCATACAAGTGGAAGGAGAACCAACCCCCCCGAACAAAATAAATTAATTAACTAACATATGAAAAATACAACATTTTAATAATAATTATCGTTATAAGGGAAAAAAACAGCTTTTTTCAGGCAAGGGTCTGGATGTGTTGCCGAAGGTTCCCGCGCCAGCTGGCGTGCTCGCGGTGGGGTAGTTGGAAGTGAGCGCGCCGATCCTCGCAGCTTGAAGGCTGCTGAAGCACTCAGGCGAAAGCACCCTAAACCCCTACACCATACAAGGCCCCAAACCTCGAAGACTTGGCCCTTGAGCGCCCCTGAAGACTTAAGGGATTATGTAGGGCCTCTATACACCCTTGAAGGGAGTGTGGGTACGCTTTATATACCATTTAAGGGATTAAATAAAGGTACCTATAATTTAAGGGATTCTATAGGTACATAACTATGCCCTTTAAGGGAGTAAATAGGTACCCTATATATATATACATATATATATATATACACCCTTGAAGGGAGTATTTAGGGGTTCAGGGGCAGAACCTGCTCGTCCACCTCCTCCTTCACGTCGGTTTCGGCGGCGGGTTCCTCGAACGTCGATCTATAGCGCAGAGGTCCTCGGCGGACCCAGAACTCAACCAAGGGGGTTTAGGGTTTAGGGTTTGGGGTTTAGGGTTTGGGGTTTAGGGTTTAGGGTTTAGGGTTTAGGGGTTAGGGTTTAGGGTTTAGGGTTTAGGGCTTAGATTCACAAACCCAGAGGCTTTCGGGGTTTGGGTTGAGGGACTGGAGGGTTTAGAGGGTTTATAGAGTTTATAGGGTTTTTAATGAGTTTTTACTAGGGTTGACAATAGGGTTTAGAGGGTTTAGAGGGTCAACCCAGAGCCCGAAACCCGTGAACCCAGGGGTTTAGTGGCTGGAGAATGTGAGCTTGTAGCGCTGAGCCGGTTCACGGGCCTTGATCATCCTAAGCGCATGAACTTGGAGGTTCATGGTACTTCTTAACCCATTATAACTGTACTCTTAACCCTAAACCCTAAACCCTAAACCCTAAACCCTAAACCCTAAACCCTAAACCCTAAACCTTAACTGTACTTTTTGACCATATTAGGGCACTTAAGGGGCTTACAAGTGGGTTGTAAGTACAGTTATAGTTGGCTAAGAAGTACCATGAACCTCCAAGAAGAGCTCATGGGTGGCTTCTGGGTCACAGAGTCTACCCTAAAAACCCTCGAAACCCTCTAAACTTTATCTGGGTCACCGAGTCTACCCAAAGAAATCCTTAAACACCCTCTAAACCCCTCTAAACCCTCCAAACTAGAAACCCTGAACCCGAGACCCCCTAAACCCTGCAGTAGCCGGGTGTAGGGTTTGGCTCCTCAACCTTGGAATGAACAAAGGCTTGTTTAAACAAGGGACTAAAGCCTTTTGAGGCTGTAGGAGAAGCAGCTTAGGCTGAGGGGCTTTCTGAGACTTGGGCTTGGGATTTCGGGTTTTTGGTGCAGGACAGGGGATGGATTCTCCTGTCTCAGCCGTGAGGGCCTTAGCTTATGGCTTATGACGTGCGCGTTGAAAATTGGAGGCTGGCGCGCTTGCCATGACGACCAAAGCGCGGACAAGGGTCAGAAGTCTCTTGAGAATCAGGAAGCCTCCTGTCCTTGGGCTTTACAGGGTATACAGGGGCACATATGGTTTTTAAACAGGGACCATGTACCTGCACTTAGATTCTCCCCTCAGCACAATCACCCAAGCGCCCATCGCACGCTTTTTTGTCGTCGCGCGGACGTCCTAACAGACCGTGCCTGCGCATTCTCGACAAGTGAGGCCCTTGAAAAGTTCCCAAAAGCTCAAATGTTCCTAGATGGGTTTAGGGCTTAGGGTTTAGGGTTTAGGGATTGTTGTCTACAGAATCCCTTGATCAGAAAGCCAGATAAGATGGAGTTGGGCCTTCAGAACCCGAAACCCCCAAATTTCCTAGGCCCCCTTCACCCTAAACCCCAGAGGCCTAAACCCTAAACCCTAAACCCTAAACCCTAAACCCTAAACCCTAAACCCTAAACCCTAAACCCTAAACCCTAAACCCTAAACCCTAAACCCTAAACCCACGAACTTCAAGTAGCCCTCACGCCGGCCACTCCGAGGCCCGGTTGGCCGCGTCCGAGGAGCTGGCGCGGCGGAGCCTTCAGGGCTGCGCGTTCGAGGATAAGGGTTCGGTAGGCTTTAGGGTTTAGGGTTTAGGGTTTAGGGTTTAGGGTTTAGGGTTTAGGGTTTAGGGTTTAGGGTTTAGGGAGGGTTCTAGGGTTCTGGGGTTCTAGGCTTTGTTCGGATTGAAGGTTCGGGGCTTCGGCGGGTTTTAGGGGTGTTGCTGCTGATCCGGGTCCCTGTTTGGCTACTTCTTTCCATACGGCATGCAAGAGTTGGGGCACCTTAAAGGGACCACAATTTGAAGCACCGGCCATAGCGCACTATAGCTTTCGTATGCTCTTGTCTTGACTTCGATCGGGAGTGCGTACAGGGCTTACAGGCCGATACGGTCAAGGGTTCAAGGGCCCCCCCCCTCCCGCGCCCCTCCGTAAGCCCCAAGAACCGCAAAGTTCAAACCCTAAACCCTAAACCCCTCATACCCTAAATCCCCGGCATTAAATTTGTGAGGCAACAGCCACCTGAGCCCACTGAGGTGGAGCACGTAGCCCAGGCGCTTGCGCCTTGCCATCGGGTCCAGTTGAAGAATCGACTTCCTTGGTCTGGAGTTTCGGGTTTCAAGGGTTTAAGAGACCCTAAACCCTAAAACCCTAAAACCCTACAACCCTACAACCCTACAACCCTAAAACCCTAAAACCCCCAAACCCCAATAACCCTAAAACCCTAAAACCCTGAAACCCTAAAACCCTAACACCCTAAACCCCTAACCCTTAAAACCCTACAAACCCTACAAACCCTAAAGTCCTAGAACCCTAAACTTAACCCACTCCCCCCCCGACACCAACAGGTCGACGGCGATCTCATGGCTTTGAACGGATATAGTTAACCCCCCTTTGGAGCCTTCCTTATAACAGCTGGAAAATTCATGCGGGCATTTTTTTTTGGGGTGGGGGGGATATTTTTAAGTACCTCTCCCCCGATACCATCGATTCTGGGGATAAGGGAATGCCCGTATTCTGAAGCGCTGACCTCCTAAGCTGGCAGTTTGGGTCTACGTTTAGCCGGTCATCCTCGGCTGTCCAGAAGGCATACATACGTGAGATACATACGGGTTCTTGAACAAAAAAGCACCAGAAAATCTTGAGATTGGCTCTTGCAAGTGTCGCCTCGTGAAACATGGACACGTTCTTGAATGAGTTGAAGGACACTGGGGTCTCCACAACCCACACCCGAATATGCTCGATGCAGGGCAGGTACATGTGCGCGCGCCCCATCCAGAAGTTCCAGGCTTCATTCGATCGCGTGCTGTTGGGCAGGTAGTGCGTCAGAGGATGATGTGTGAGAATGCCGAGCATCGGACGTATGCTGAACCACTCCCTTCCAAAGACATCGGTGGTAACTGTGCTGGGCAGCACCCCAACTTGTCGCATGCATGTGGCGAGCATCAGATCCTCGCGGTGCCCAACCGCAAATGCACAGTCCTGAAAGGTGGGATGCCCTCGGTGCTCGAGGGGGACTTGCAACAGGAGGCCCAGCAACTCCTCTAAAGCCCGACGCGATAGACATACTCCAGGGCCACCGTCATTATACACAAATCCTGGGCTGTGGCAGGCCCAAGCACAAGCTATATGTTCGCGGCTTGGGGAGGTTCATGTACGGGCCTTGACGGCTAGAAGAGGGCCGATAGGGTTTTGGGCCCTGTTGTACAAATATACGTATACTAGGGACCACAGGGGAATACTATCAGAAATCATTTACGACAGTACTACAATTTGCTTAAGAACCCCCAAAAATCCACAAAAAAAAAAAAAAACAATCCCTATATTAGGAAGATTAAAAACACAATCCCTATATTAGGAAGATTAAAAAACAAGTCTGGGGTTCTTAAGCGAATAGTAGATTAGGGCCTGCGAGCTGCTCCGAGCCAAGATGCCAAAGCGAGGCACCTCATTGAACTGCCTCGTTCCTTAGCAGCCCAGTAGCCATATTATGAACCCTAAAACCCTAAACCCTAAACCCTAAACCCTAAACCCTAAACCCTAAACCCTAAACCCTAAACCCTAAACCCTAAACCCTAAACCCTAAACCCTAAACCCTTCTTTTGGTTGGTTACTTCATAAGAGAACCCAGAACCCAAAAAAAGAAAAGGTCAAGGGTACCACGGGGCTACCAAGGTTCCCAGGTAGTGCGACTCGGAGGCATCCAGGCGCTCGGAGGCCACGAGGTATCGAAAGTTCTCCTGGGGTGGGTCTTTGGGCATGTGCTGTGGGGGTTTGGAGGTGTAGGGGTTTGGGGTTTAGGGTTTAGGGGTTTAGGGGTTTAGGGGTTTAGGGGTTTAGGGGTTTAGGGGTTTAGGGGTTTAGGGGTTTAGGGGTTTAGGGGTTTAGGGGTTTACGGCCCCAAAAATCTCAAAACCCATCATCCTAAAGTCCTCAAACCCAGGACCCGACATGGGTTCCAAATCAACCCGAGTCTCAGGTATGAAGAAGGTGTCGCGCTCCAGACGGCAGTGCCACCACTGCTCATCTCGATGATGGCCCTGTTCGGCTTCCCATCGTAGCCTTGGTAGCCCAGTAACAACCTCGTAATAAGGGGATTTAGGGCTTAGGGTTTAGGGCGTAGGGTTTCGGGCTTAGGGTATTTAGGGTTTAGGGACCCAAAAGGGGATGAGGGTACCACGGGGCGACCAAGTGGCATATGCAGCAGCTTCACAATGGTGTTGAACGTGTCGTGTGGGGGAGTTTGGCCAGTTGGCCGATGGAAGCTTTCGTCGTCGGGCGGCACGTGCGGGTACCAAGCATGCAAGTTTACTATTGAGTAGTTTGTTGTGGCTACGTCCGGTGTCGTGGGCGTAGATACGAAGAAGCGCAAAGCATCGCAGTCGGCGCCATAGGTTTCCAAGATTGCAGTGAGGAACTCCTCTTGGCTGGGCCACACCAACGGCACGAGACAGCTTACTTTGGGAAGCAAGCCGCCCTCAAGCACCCTACCACGCCAAAGTGGACGACCCGCGTTGCTCACTTCTTGGCCCCATGCTCTAAGCTCAAGTTGCGCAATGCTTTGGCCAAAGGGTTCCAGGTCGTTGCTTCTCAAGCCGTGCTGCACCGGGCATGAGAGACTGTGGATGGGCGTCCCAACTAGGCTCGGCCCCGGCCCCTGCGACAAAATCTTCATCAAAACGTCCCCGTGCGCAGCAAACACCTCCTGCGCCGAAGGCCCACGTCTCCACCAGCTGTCGAAGCACCAAGCGCCCCCACTCGCGGCAATATGCTGCAGGGCAACATCGTAGAAGATCAGCGCCGCGCCCCAGCTCCGATGCCGGAGGCTTCCCGCGCACAAGGCTGCCTCGATGGAAAGTGTGGCCGGGCAGTTGGCCACATCTCCCAACGCCACATGGAACCGCCCGAAGGCATCGGCTGTCAATGCACACTTCCGGGCATCGAAGGCCGGGAGGGGCACGTGAGGCAGCTGAGCGCAGAGCTCCGAAAACGTGTGGCAGTTGAAGTCGCTGACCGCGATGGAAGACATGAGCCTTCGGACCCTAAACCCAGGTACGAATCATAGCCTCAACTCTTGAGAAAGAAGGCTCACCATGCAGGCTCCAGCTCAACAGGGCTTCTGGAGCCCTAGCGCATCACTAAGTTGGCTCCGCAAAATGTTCCTGAATATGATCGTTTCGGGTTCAGGGCATCAGGAACCCGAACAAGCCCACATCCTTTGCTTGGAGCTCTTGCAAGCCCTTCCCTGCGCTGCCGTGCAAACCCAGCTGATGTTCTCAGACGGGAGCCGTCCAGCAGCGGGGGTCCATCTTGCGAAGGCTGATCACCACGTGGTTGCGCTTCACCTCTTGCGGGGGCTAACGTGAAGCCTTTATGCCGAAAGCAGAAGCATTGCTACAGTAATACACCTGTAAAGTTTCATAGCGCATGCAATGACCACAGGGCTGTGGGCCCTGTCCCTCATAGGTTTAAGTGGCAAAGGCTACTTGGAAGTTCATGGAGAGTTAGAAAGTCGAGTTCTAAGCAAAATGTGGTTACAGCTTTACTTACCATACTTATCCCCCTACATATATCTGCCCAAGTAAAGCCGAAGCCCCTAAGTCCCTAAACCCCTAAGCCCAAGAACCTTCAAGTCCACCATCCCGCCCCAGCGGACTTCTGCGAAGGGGAGGAGGGATTTTCATGGTGCAAACTCGGCTCCAGATCAAGTGTGGGATTTAGGGGGCCGCTTGGTAACAGCCAGGGCAGGAGAATGAGGGTGCTTTCAGGCGGTTTTACGGGACAAGGAGAAAATGAAGCCTTGAAAACGAAAGAGTAAACATCCCTAAGCCCTGCAAGCCCTCAAGCCTAAACCCCCAAACCCCTAAAGCCCCAAACCCTAAACCGGCCCCTAAACCCCTGAACCCTAAACAACCAAAACCTTAAATACCCTAAAGTAAGGCTCTCTAAACCCTCACCTTCTAGGCACATTCCATCCCCTACATAATATCTGACCATATGGAGTTATATGTATACATATATATATATATGTATAATATGTATATACAGATATATGTACACCCTTTAGGGGGGGCACCTAGACTCCAAAACCCCAACCAGCTGTCCAAGTGGTGCCGAGGCTACGGCCCGAAAGGTCGAGCCGTTGGGGTCAATGTCCCTTTGCAGGCAAGTCTTTCGCAGCCGGTACCTCTGGCTGTAGGGTCTTTTGGGTTTTTTGCTTAATTACCCCTAAACCCTAAACCCTAAACCCTAAACCCTAAACAGTAAACCCTAAACCCTAAACCCTGACGCTGTCCGCATGGGTGCATGAGCTCTGGGCTTCACGTTGAGGGGGGTTGCGCGGGGGTGCCTCCGCGACATCCTAGATGTGGCAACGAACACTACGAGGAGAGACAAGAGGTTAGGGCTTAGGGCTTAGGGCTTAGGGCTCAGGGCTCAGGGCTTATGGCTTGGGGTTCAGGGTTCAGGGTTCAGGGTTCAGGGTTTAGGGTTTAAGGGCTTATATATACATACCCGACCTGGCCTGGCAGTTACCTAAACCCTATAAACCCTAAACCCTCAAACCAGAGGTTCCTGCAATGGCTTCAGATTTTAGGTTGAGAGTGGGCTCAGACTGATATCTTCAGCTGGCGGGGTTTAGGGGTTTAGGGGTTTAGGGGTTTAGGGGTTTTGGGGTTTAGGGGTTTAGGGGTTTAGGGTTTAGGGTTGCAGATTCCGGCAGACAGGCCCGGCAGAATTACGCAGAAAAAAAGTCACTAGCGCCAGGCCTTCTGGACCCTGACTACCCCGAATCCTAAACCCTTACACCTTAAACCCTAAACCCTCAATTCTAAACCCTTCTACCTTCCACCCAAAACCCAAAACCAACACCATCCCCAGGCACTTTCAGCGCAGAAGCCTTGTTGATCATGGGTGTAAACGTGCCGCTCTATCACAGAGTTGCAGAACCACACAAAGACATTCGCAACTCCATGTGTAGCCCTCTACGTCTGCGTCTCTGTGTGTCTGCGTGCTCGCTTTTGATGCGCTCGAGGCCAATGTCTCCCTAAAGCGATCGAACATGCTGGCAGGATCGGGTGCCCGACGGGCTCGCCTGTATTCCCCCGTCCCTTCATTAAGGTCCAGGTGCGACCCCTAAGTCTAGACAATACCCCCTGAGCAGCGGATGCTATGCACTGGTCCCCAAACTGAGCATCTGAGCTCTTCTGCGATGAAGTACTGGCCAGTTTAACCTGTTCAGGGTTTGGGGTTCAACAGTTTCGGCCCTACACTGAACGTTAGACCGAGCGCCTACTCACTCCGTGGACATGTGCTAAATCTAGAAAGCCTTCGGGTTTAGACTTGGACCCTGCAAGTGAGAGGGCTGAAACATTGCATCGGCTTCCGCTGACGGTGGTAAACGGTCCGTCGCGGACATTTGTCAAAGCACTTGCCTCGACACGGCCACAGGTGGAAAATACTATCTCACAGCTGTGCCGAAGAAACCTCGCGGTCCAAAAACCAAACCCTGAAGAGCCTCTCCCTAAGGCCACCATCAAGAAGAACACCCCCCCCCCCCCCCCCCCCCCCGCCAAATATACCTGTAGTTCCATTGCCTCATTCCCTGATCGTAACCCTAAACCCTAAACCCTAAACCCTACACCTGCTTAGCTTTTCGAGCACAGAGTGTGAGGAGATCGTCTCGCCTCAACGCCGCGCCTCCCCAAGGTGCACTGAACTTAGGGGACCTGTTCAAAAAAACCTCTGGGAATATGAGAGAGCTTATGCAGATACCTTTTAAAAACTCACAACCCTAAACTGGCTTAAGGTTTAGGGTTTAGGGTTTAGGGTTTAGGGTTTAGGGTTCAGGGCTTAGGGCTTTGGGCTTAGGGTTTAGGGTTTCGGGCTTAGGTTCTAGGGTCTGGGGTTTAAGGTTTCGGGTTTAGGGTGCAAGCTAGCACGCCCTTAGACTTACGAGGCGCAGAAGTCAAACGGCGCAACGCCCTGATTTCATGCGACAAACCTGCGTCTGAGGGTAGTTTCATGGGCCCTTCATGTGGTCCCTAACCTCTTTAAAAGGGTTCTGATGTATGGGCCCTTAATTTGTATAGGGTATAGAAGGGGTAAGAAGGGGTACCCTTTTAAGGGCCCATGTCAAGAGACCATGTAGCTACCCGAAGACTACGTGACTGCTAGCCCCAGAAAGCCTATGTAGCCCTAGACCAGAGTATCGAAAAGGCCTTAAACCTTAAACCCTAAACCCCAGAGCCCTCCCTTAAACCCTCAATCCGACACAAGGTCTTAGAGGCTTTAGGGTGGTGGGTTTTTAGTGCATTTTTGCTTGGAGGGTTGTAGGGCTTTAGGGTTTACCGAGCGAACTCATGTGCCAGAGGTTAAGGGGTCTTCTGGGCTTCGGCTTCAGAATCGTAGGGTTTCAGGATTTGGGGGCTTCAGGGTTTGGGGTTTCGAGCTTTCATGTCTTCCAGTTGGGGGTTTAGGGGCTTCTTAGGGCTTAGGGCTTAGGGCTTAGGGCTTAGGGCTTAGGGCTTAGGGCTTAGGGCTTAGGGCTTAGGGCTTAGGGCTTAGGGTTTAGGGTTTAGGGTTTCGGGTTTCGGGTTTAGGGTTTAGGGCTTTTGGGCTTCCGGGATTCCAGCGCCTGCTGAGAGCCACCCTCGGCTTGGGCCCGTCCTCACATCTCCTGCAGAGGATGCCGAGTTTCTAGGCGAGGTTTAGGGTTTAGGGTTTAGGGTTTAGGGTTTAGGGTTTAGGGTTTAGGGTTTAGGGTTTAGGGTTTAGGGTTTAGGGTTTAGGGTTTAGGGTTTAGGGTTTAGGGTTTAGGGTTTAGGGTTTATTTAGGGTTTAGGGTTTAGGGTAACGAACCCAGCCGTAGGTGTGGGATGGGTTTTTCGGGCTTGGGCTTCAAGATTTAGGGTAGCTTACTCTGAACCCTAGAATCCGCGTCTTCCCCAAATCAGCCCTGTCGCCCCATTAATAAACTCTGTAAACGCAGAACCTGACAGACACAAGGCTGGTTGCTGATGCCAGGTCTGAGCTGGAATCCGGTCTTGGGGAATTAAGCCACTTAAGGTTTTGGGGTTCAGGGCTTCGGGTCTGGGTGCAGGATTGGCGTAAAACGTTGCACCCTGAAACCTAAACCCTAAACCCTAAACCCTAAACCCTAAACCCTAAACCCTAAACCCTAAACCCTAAACCCTAAACCCTAAACCCTACGAGAGCGGCCTTGTCCTCGGCGGCCGGAATCTCTTTGGCCTCTTTGGCTTCGGCCTTCTGCGGCACGGCCTCTTCTCAGGGTGGCTTCAGAGGGTTTAGGGTTTAGGGTTTGGGGTTTAGGGTTTAGGGTTTAGGGTTTAGGGTTTAGGGTTTAGGGTTTAGGGTTTCGGGTTTCAGGGTTTAGGGTTCAGGGTCTGGGGTTTCGGGTTGAGGGTTTACGATGTACGGTGTCGGGTTACGGGGTTGGGTTTCAGGGTTTGGAGTTGAGGGTTAAGGGTTCAGGGTGCAATGCAGGGTGGTTGAGGATTAAGGGTTGGTTGTGGGCTGTGCTTAGTGGTTCTGTACCTAACGGTCAAAATCCGGAAGTTTTTCAGGTTGCGAGTTTCAGTGTCTAGGGTTGAGGAATGAACAAAGGATGAAAGCAATGGCCTGGTCCGGTTTTGTCTCACCTTGCGTTTCGCGCGTGTCCTGCAACATCAAAGCCATAGGCCAAGCATGGTTTAGGGTTTGGGTTTAGGGTTTAGGGTAAAACCTCAAACCCTTGAGACCCTTAGCTGAAAGCCCAAATTCCCAGACCCTCGTTCTCACTAAGCCCTTCACCCTTCAATACCTCAAGTGGGTTAAGGCTTGAGCGTTAAATTTCGCAGGACGACGGTTTAAGGCGCGTCCTCCAACTCCGAGCTCGCACCCCTCCCCCCCCAAAAGTGCTCCAAATCGGAACTCTCTAGACTCTCCTTCTACATGTGCTGAACCGTACAAGATCGAAATACGAACTGTGCGTTCCTTCACCTCCTCGGCATCATGCTCACCCGTCTTATG